CAAGACAAATTCATGTTACTCAGCCCTGATGTGCGCAGGAAAAGATCTCAAAAGGCTTATTTTTTTCACAGACTAGATCAGGTCACCTGGTGCTACAGCACAGCTGAGATCTGCTTGATACACTAAACATCAGTCCATTTAGAGGACTTCACCATTTCCCATTGTGGCCGAAAGAACCATCTCACTCACACAGCCCAGACCCTCAGTGCCTTAACTCAAAGACTGACAGTGTCAGCAGCACTTTGCAGATGGAGGAAGCAGCCCTGCCATGCGTAATGAAGTGAGCGCACAGTCCTCACGTATGACTGTACTTTGTCACGGGGGTTTTCAGAACTAGGACCAATGTAGCAAAACAATGACAAGCAGCAGAACGATGATACGTTATGCATTTGAAAGTAGAGCAAACTAGCCAACAGAAAAAAGATCCCTATCAATAACACTTCAGACACTGCATCACGCAGAGACATTTACTCTCCTTCGCTATAAATACAAGATAAGCAATACTGAGCTAGCAGCATCAGCACTAAGCAAGCCTTCTACATCCACACAGCAGCAACTGTGCTTGCCCATGCTTCAAAGACAACAGGAAGGTGACAGCAGAAAAACAACTAACCTGTTTTTTCTAAGAAGAAACATATCACATAATAGTCTAAGAGTTATACAGGACTTTAATGGCTACAAAGAGAAATCATGCAGCTATAGTAAAAATAGTACAGGAGAGGGCAACTCCCTATGGGTGGTTCCTAGCCTAAGGCTGAAGGAAATCTTCGCATCTTCTCTTACAGTAACAATACAGAACTACAGCTGTAGTTGCAGAATACTGTTACTGCCCCTAAAAATGGCGTTATTGTTCCAGAACAAGCCACAGAGAAGTAAAATCTGATCAGGCCAAAGGAATCAGGGTGGAAAGGATTGTTACCTGACCAGGGAGGCAAAGCAGGGCAAAAAGAGCTGGGAACAAGGACTAATCAGCCATAAGATCACTGTTTGATCAGACAGGAGACTAAACATCACTATGGCTACAGAAAGGAAAAACAGTACAGTACAAGATGGGGAAAACAGAATGCAACCATGAAAAGGACAGGAGGATGCTGAAGGAGGCACACACTGACTGTAGGGGACAACAGCAAGGGCTGCACCTTTCAGAGCACAGAGCTCTGAATATCAGACAATGATTTGTGCCATGTCCAACAGTACCACAGGAGGGGGGTTAGCAAAGTGATAATGGGGGAGGGAACATTGTGACAGGGAGATACAGCTGGGGTGTGCAGGAGTCCTCAAGGAAGGCATAGGGAGGTGAGGAGGGAGCCCCTCACAACTCTGATATGGGGAAAAAACAGGAGATGTAGCTCCAGGGGGTGGGCAGGAACAGAATGTCCTTGGGGGGTCAAATATCTGACAATGGGGGGCAGTACTGGGGGTCAAGAGCTCAAATCTGACTTCCACAACTCCAAGAAAATATTACAGGGGGAGAGAGTAAGGAAGGAAAGAGGTAAGACAGGGTCCTGTTGAGCCTGGGCACACTGACTGATCACCGTTAGGACAGAGAAGCTCCCTGGCAAGTCTGAACCTGGGCACTGGGAAGAATGTGGCCTAAGCTGGGCTACTGGGGAGGATGAGTTGGGGAAGTTCCTACATGGCTTCAGAGAGGCAATTCAGGGATGGTACCTGCTGAGTGGTTGGGGGCAATTCCAGGAGCCCCTAGATGCACTTAGGGCCTCATTGACAGACCCTGAAGGGCATTTAGGGGGCAGCTGTTGACCACCACCGGGGGAAGAATTTGTTATGGAGATCCCTGAAGAGCATTTAGGGTTTTGCAAGTCCATGAAAAGCTGTCGAGGGGGTGTTGTTAGCAGGTCTCTGAGGGGCGGTGGGGGGGGTCGTCGGCACCTCAGGCGCAGGAAAGGGGGGCATGAAAATGGCCGAGTCC